AATGAAATACTGCCATTTGCAACAACATGGATGGACCTTGAGAAAATTATATTAAGTGAAACAAGTCAGGCACAGAAAGAGAAATACCACATGTTCTCACTTATTGGTGGGAGATAAAAATAAGTAAATAAATTCACATACACACACACACACACACACACACACACAAAAAAAAAACCGGGGGCAAAGAAGACATAACAACTACAGTTCCTTGAAGTTGATACAACAAACAAACAGAAAGGACATTGCTGGGTGGGAGGGAGGAGAGGGCGGAGGGAGGGAGGTTTCAGGTAATGGGCCACAATAATCAACCACATTGTATATCGACAAGATAAAATTTAAAAAAAAAGAAAAACTCTTGCACAAGTGCACCAGGATAAATGTACAAGAATGTTCATAGTAGCATTGTTCATAATAGCAAAAAAACCCCACAAAAAACTGCAAACAACCCAAACATCTAAACTATATCTAGAAAGGATATATTGTAATATACTCATGTAAAGAAATTTGAATGAAATACAGCAACAAATAGCTAATCCGACCCCCTGCTGCCTGAAACTTGTTTTTCTCCAGCCACACTGACACTGCCTTGCTATTATATGAACATGCTAAGCACTTTTTTGCCACAGGAATTTAGCACTTGTGTTCCCTCTGCCTGAATCCCTCTGTGGGGTCATAGTTTGTTCCCTTGATTCCCTCTAGTCTGCTGAAAAGATAACTCTGCAGAGAGGCCATAATTGAGCCCCTCCCCTCCCATCTGGCTGTATCTACTTTACCCTGCTCCATTTTTCTTCAGTAGTAGTTATCACCCCCTGTCCCATTATACATTCACTCATTTTTTTTTTTTATTGTCTGTCCCCCTTTATAAGAGTATACACTTCCTAAAGGCAGGTGCTTTGTCAGTTTTATTTATAGCTATACCCTTGTGCTTAGGAAAGGAAGGGCATATAAGCATATTAAGATTTGTAAAAATTTTTTTTTTTTTTTGTCCTTTTTGTGACCGGCCGCACCGCGCTCAGCCCGTGAGCGCACCGGTCATCCCTATATAGGATCCGAACCCGCGGCAGGAGCGCTGCTGCGCTACCAGTGCCGCAGTCTCCCGAGTGCGCCACGGGCTCGGCCCAAGATTTTTAAAAATATTTTTAAATATTTGCAAAGTAAATCAATTAATCAGTAAGATTGATGAAAACATTTTCAGATTAGCTTTAAAGACAGAGACTTTCAAATTGACTTTAGAAATTAAAAGTAGTCCTTCATGGGTCTGCAAAAACATACTTAAGACAAAGGGCCAAAAGTAAAAAAGACAAAAATAACAGAATGAGGAAACAGGTCAAGCAAATGCAAACCAAAAAAGTTGCTGGTGGTGAGGGGAACAATTTGTTAAAATATAATTGATGCTCAGTCATGCATATGGCCTTTGATACAGTGAGAAGTTGTTTTCATTTTTATTCATTCTGCAAAAGATAAACAATAAATTGAGATGGGCAACTCAAAACCCTAAAGCTGTCTAGCTTCTTACAGTTATTTAGAGTTGGAAGCTAAATTCTTTGTAGGAGACTTCCAGCAGTTCATTGTGATCTCAGATTATGTCTGAAGTGATCAACAATAATTCAATTTATGAGCCGTCATTATCTCTCACACTAGTTATCCTTTATGACTTGACATAATTATTTATTTATTTATTTTTAAATTTATTTTTTTTTTAAAGATGACCGGTAAGGGGATCTTAACCCTTGACTTGGTGTTGTCAGCACCACGCTCTCCCAAGTGAGCTAACCGGCCATCCCTATATAGGGATCCGAACCCATGGCCTTGGTGTTATCAGCACCACACTCTCCCAAGTGAGCCATGGGCCGGCCCCACATAATTATTTAAAGCATGTTTTAAGATTCTTGATAAATAAAAAGGTGTGTATTTAAGTGAGTAATAAAACCATTTATCAGTAAGAAACCCTCCTCCCTTATCTTATAAGGTAGAAAAACATGGTGGAGAAGTCTTCCACTTAAAAAAGGAAGCAGAGAGATGAGGATAAAATAAATGTAAAAGACCACTTTCATGGCAAGAAATTTTTAAATCTAGAGGAAATTGATTTTTCTGGGAATATTTGTTTATATCCAAATCTAACCCAAAAAGAGGGAGGAAAAAAACAGACAAATAACTGTGGAAGATATTGGAGGTTTTAAAAGATAATCCATTAGAGATATGTGGCCCATTTGTGCACCCAAAAGTTTTTTACGAATTTCTGGGACATGAAAAATGATTGAGATTGTGTTACAAACATTTAAAATATTTATGTGGTCACATTTATCCATCTTTTTCTTTGTCAGAGATGACCAATTCAACTGCCTGAGGAAGAGGTAGTGAAGGCAGTTAACTGAGTAAGTAATTCTTGGTAGAGACGGGTAAGATGCAGAGAGAAAAAGCTCCAAGAGAGAGATGGAGGGGGATTGATGGGGGGAAGGCGATCTGTGCAGCTTCAGCTGATTGTTATTATACCAGAATGGGACTAATGTAGCCACATCTTCCCATCTTTCAAGTGAAGCTGGAAATTCTGGTTTTTATGTGAAATCTTTCCATTTTTAAATCCCAGTGGTTAATTTTAAAAATTGTAAAATATATGTGGGCTAAGCAACAGTCCCTTAGGCCTTCACTGCTCTGTGGGCCGTCAGATTGATCTTTGTTTTGGAGTTTTTTGGTTTTTTGTTTTCGGCTTCTTAGTTTTTATCCTTTTAAGAAAGGCCTTCCCTACTCCTAGATTATTTGTTATTTCCCATGTTTTTAAAAGGTGTTTTTACATTATTAAATAACATCAAGTAATTATGTTGTAAGGAGTAAGGTTATTAATTTTGTTATAAAGAGTAAGATGGGCATCCAGCTTAATTTTGTACAAATAAATAGGCTATTTTTGCAACATCATTTAGTGAACACTCTATTTTTTCCCTAGTTTGAAATGCCACCTTTATCATATATGAAATTCCTATGTGTATTTGGGTCAATTTCTGGACTCTGGTTTGTTACGTTTGGTCTGTCTGTCTACAGATGTGCCAGTACATCTTTTTTCATTATCTTATTTTTAAAATGTGTTTGGTATCTTTCAGGGTTAGCTCCTCCCCATCATTCTTCTTGTTGTTGTTGTAAATAAATTTTTGTATTTTCTCACATATTTATTTTACCTTGTGAACTTTAATGAGTTTATTTAGTTTTCCTCTCCTATTACCAGGTTGGTATTTCTTCCAGGATCCCATTACATAGGAATCTTCTTACTTAAGTATAGGGTATGGCTTTCAATTAACTAAAGATTTGTTTTTCTCTCCGTTCTATAATCTGACAAATTTGGGGGCTGGCCCGTGGCTCACTCAGGAGAGTGCAGTGCTGATAACACCAAGGCCATGGGTTCGGATCCCATATAGGGATGGCCGGTTTGCTCACTGGCTGAGCGTGGTGCTGACAACACCAAGCCAAGGGTTAAGATCCCCTTACCAGTCATCTTTAAAAAAAAAAAAGAGAGAGATGGTGTATAATTTTTTTTCACAACATTTAATCACTTTTCCAATCTCTTAAATAGTAATTTAATAGTAATAGTAATAGGTCTATTCATGTTTTCTAATTCTTCAACCCATATTTTATATTTTGTATTTTTCTAGGAACTCATTCAATTCATTGCCATATATTTGCCCATAACAGTCTCTTCTAATTCTTTTGAGCACTTCTGGATATGTGCTTATTATACCTTCCTCTTTCCTAATCTTTTAAATTTGTAAATTTCTTTTTTAAATCTTTATTTTTTAAATCAGGTTTTGTTAGAGATTTATCTATTCAGTATTTTCAAAGAGACAAGTTTAGGATTTACTTCACTATTTTAATGCTTTGGTTTTCTATGACATAAATTTCAGGATTGGTCTTTATAAATATACATAATCGTTTTTTCTTTTCATTTTTTTTTTCTTGTCCTCTCCTTTTCTTTAAATAAAGACCTATTGGTTGAGTTTTTCTTTTCTTTTCTTTTTCCCAGTTAACATACTTTTACTATGGTCTTTTCCCAAAAAGCATTTATTGTTCTCAAGAGTATAAGTGCTTTGAGGGCAGGCCTTCATTTTTGAATTACTCACAGTGCCTCTCACATAGGTTTTAGCCCAGAAGGCGCTCAATACATATCTGTTGAAACAAATTGAATTTGTCCATGTAAGATATTTATAGTAACTACTGTTATTAAATTAATCAAAACACCATAGCTTCAATCCCTCCAGATAGATTTTTTTTTTTTGGTAGCTTGCCAGTACAGAGCTCGAACCCTGGACCCTGGTATTATGAGCACCATATTTTAACTAACTGAGCTAATGGGCCAGCCCAGATGGAATTTTTTTTACTTTATTGATTTTTTTCATTGTACATGTTTATGGGGTACAGCTTCTTGTTTCAGTACATGCATATATTGTATAATGATCCAATCAGAATAGTTAGCATATCTATAACAGATTCTTCTGAGTCTGAATTTTGTGTGCATGAAGTTGATAAGGGAGTGCCCCCAGATGTTGAAAACCACAGGAAGGCAGTAAGGGAGGCAAAGGGAGGCAGAGGAAAATGTTGAACTGCAAAAAGGTCCTGTCTTTACTTTAAATCTTAATATTCTTTTTGAAAGGATGACAGGACCAGAGCTGACAGTTCACCGGAGAAGTTCCGCTTTATTCGGGGGAGAAGCATACATTTGTATAGAGCCGGGTTCCGGGAGAGGGTGGTTAGTACACAGGGCGGTAGTTGATTGGCCGGGGGCAGGTAATGATTTCTGATAGGCTGCACCTTGGCGCCGGCGAGATTGTTAGGACCCGGAAGAGAAAAGCGCCATGTTTTAGGGAGTGCCTCCTTTGGGGTCTTCTATGGGACCTTACATTCCTCCCTTTTTCCTCTATTGGGGATCAGGTCGTTGAGGTCTCCGAACTACTTCCTGCTGGAGGGGGCCGTCGTGGGAGGAGGAAACAGAGAGGAGAAAGAAACCCCCATTATCCCAAAGGAGAGTGGTGAACAGGGTGATTTCAAGGGGAGAGAAATCCATGAAAGTTTCTTGGAGCCATAGGTCAGCCATCTGCTGTGTCCAGTGGGTATAAGAGGCTGTGGGGAAGATCATCCATGCATCTGCAGCTAGAGTGGTCAGGAACAAGCACCACCGGTGACTTAGATCCATTTCAGCAAGATGTCAGGCATTCTATTGAAATTGGAGATCGGGATAGGCGAACTTTAAGGGGGTTGGTGGGATGAGAAGTGCAGAAATAGCTTTCTTGAGAGGGTTCACTCTGAGCTTCAGGCTAACTTGTAGGTTCCGTGAGGTTCGTAGGTGGGCCTTGAGGGCAGGGCTTTAACCTGGAAATGTGGATCCATGGAGTTACTTGGTTGTTTGGTAGGGAAAGCTTGGCAGCTGTGGGAGTACAAAGAATGACTGGGTAAGGGCCCTCCCACTTAGGAGTTAAAAGATTTTGTGGCACTGGGGAAGTGTAGAATACTAAATCCCCAGGGTGTACTGTGGAGGTGTTTTGGGAGGAGGTTGGATTAGGCAATAGCCAATCCTGGTGTTTCCAGAGTTCAGCTCAAAGATGGGATAGCTAGGTTGGGGGGTATGATTTCTTGTTTAG